TGTAAATCTTCCTAGAATTAAAAGGTGTACTCACTAAAGAGGACAGTATCCCCATTAACTGAAATTATTTAAATGCATGTATTCATGCATGTGAAAGGTGGCAAGCATGAAGAAAGAGAAATTACCACCCAGGTTCACTGAGTTCCTTTCAATCAGGAATCCTGGCCAGGCGTGAGATCTGGTCTGCAGACATCCAGAGCCATCCTCACCACCTACCTACCATATGCAGTATCTCATAATCTTTATATCATGGATTTCAAAACTTTAATAAAAGCTCAAGTTACCTAATTCTCTGGCTATTCATGGGAAATTAACATGTCTCATCCCTGTACATAGATTTTCCATCTAACTCCAAAGACCTTTGAAATTGATGTGCTAACAATAGGTGTAATTATATTTTCTATCTAAATAGAAAGGTCTGAGACATGATAGGAGTCTAATATAAATAAATGAGTTTTCTTGTTGATGGACTCCTGCATTATTTTATCTTCATCTTCATATTCATATTTCTGTTCTCAATTCAATTCTTCAGCCAATTGAATTTTGTCTCGTGTATGATGTTTCAGACTCATGATTGCACCACGAAGTCTTCCACATTTCTGACTTACTTCTTTTACAACTATGATTGTGTAACTCTGGTCAGATCTGTATTGTTTTTTTCTCCTAACCCAGATGCACAAGGCTTAGGAATGCACTGTTCAAAGCCTCTTAGAGGGGGGACAGTATCCTAGGCTCACTCTTGTCAGAGGCAGCAAAGATTCAGGAGCAATTCAAATCTCTTTACCTGGCTAGAACTTCAAGTGGCTCCCCTCTGACATGGACAAGAGCTCAAGTTGAAAAATGATTGCTGATCTCTGGCACTGAATTAGCTAGATTAAAAAACATCAGAGCATGCTATAAATGTAAATAATTTCAGAGTTGCCTAGAACGAAGCGTTTAAGAACCTACCATCAAAATATTTGTCCTAAATTTCTAACACTTCCTTTATTCTTTTCTTGATTTAACCTGAAAGTCTGACTTACATATAGCTTATCTATGCTATGAATAATGAAACACAAATCTCTGTATTTTAAAATATTTTCTTTCTTTTCTCAGTTTCTACAGATAAAGTGATCTGAAGTAATGCATGATGCCGCAAAGCTGAAAAGAGAAACTGTGACAACCCCCAGAAATGTGAAAGGAGGTTTCTTACTGGATAGCAGCATCCTTGGTTCAATTTATATAAAAACCCAAATAAATAAAACGGACGGTATTGTTCAATTTTAGAAATTCCATTTCTTCTATGTTCTACGCTGTACAATTGTCAGGTTTTTATGGTTTAAATTGTAAATGTGCTTTCCCCTTTGCTAATTATGTTTTTTTTTTAAGTCTTAAAATGTGAAAGACATTTATGAATGGTAAGGGAGACACTATATACAAATGTATATTTGTAAAAGCTATTTTTATGATTAGCATGTTTCACTGTTGATCATATATAAAGTCAGGTGATATTGCAGTTCTATGTTTAAAGCTTATTTCCAACAATGTCATGTAAGAGAAGACACATCTTATGCTACTTTTTATAATTTATTTTTAATTCATAGTTTAAAGTATTTCATATCATAAGGATAAAATACTTGAAAGAGTTATATTTCTGCCCTCTATAAGCACCATTTTTATTAATAAAGAATGCAGATATTTCAGATATGTTACAATAGTTAAAGGACTGTTGGTTTGACCTGTGATTAAGTTGAGCATGCTCCACTCTACTGAACTAAAGGGATTGGATTATTACCTAATACTTCAGTCTGGGTGTGAGATTCCTTGGACAAGTTTTAATGATCTTATAGGTGAGAACTAGATTGCCAAGGAAAAGATTGTCTTGTCTTTGGATCCAAAAGTTTAAATTAGTGTATACATCACTTCATTTCCTCTCCTATTCCTAGGAATTCTCCCAAGTATTGCAAGTGTTTTCCAGATGCTCTTAGCTGTTGTCTTGTGCTGTGGAAATGGAAGAAACCATCTTCACAGACTGTAGGAGAATTCAGCATATAATTTCTTAATAAATACTGTTTCTTTTAAAACAAAGTTGGTGGTATCTTTCCTTTGGAGTACACTTAGTTTTAATATTCAATTTGAACTTTTTCGCTGTAGTGCCATAAAATCAATACAATAACGAAAGTACATAACTTTACTAAAGTGTATATTACATATGTTCCACACTCTTCTCAGAACAACCTATATTCTGCAACATATTTATTTGCCATATAAAAGAAAGCCAGATGGCCTTTAATCCTTGACAAAAGTAACACTCCAGTTTACATTTCCAGAAGGCATATTTTTCCTCCAAATACAGAATTTTAAGAAAATGTTTCAGTATAGAAAACAAAACTATTTCATCAGAAGGTATTAATATTTATGCTCTTCCAGATTAAAAGTCTGTAGCTAAATGACTGCAAGCTCCTCATTAAAGAGCAGAGAGATGTGTAATTGTCACCAAGAGCACTTAGTGGGAGAAAGCCCTCCCTCCTTCAAAGAAATCGAAGAGAGTCTAAAATCACCTTGGTATGTTTTCCCTTAATTTTCTATTTAATTTCTTTAAGGTAATTTATCCTATCTCTGTCTTTCAAATATAAGCTAATGAAAAATCATACAATTTCATCTAACAAAGTGTATCAAAAACTAAAATTCTGGGAAAAAAAAGAATTACAACTCTGTCATTAAAGAAAATAAATAAACTGCATTTTATTATTTAAACTCTTTAGAAACTTGCACAATGGAACCTAGGATCTGGATCAAGAATGTACTTCCCTTTTAAGGGAATGCAAAAACTATAGTGTGGTACACTGTCAACTATTTCTTATGGCCATGATGGGTATGGAAGAATTTGTGATTACCAGTGACTGGACTCTGAAATTGAAAAGAACCTGTTTATAGTTCTATATGGGAATAAAACCAACATAGTGATTTCTTGGATTGCTACCAAATAGATAAATTTGCTGGGAATAATCCAATGTGCCAGAGAGAAGTGTTGGCAGAACTGTGTATTAGGAAATTATATATGTTAATATTTTTTCCAATTTGTCATTTGTTTGTCCTCATAGTATTCAATAAATAGTGTGGATTTATAATCCATCATTATCATAAATTATTGAGAGTATCATACTTTCCCTGATGGTCATTAACTATTCTCAAAACAAAATGAATAATTAAAATGTATAAAAAGAATCCTTTGTTATTGGACTTAATTTTCTACACATAGGCCTAGAAGTATGAAACTATGGGTCTTTCCCTTTATTTATTACTTATTCCTGGTTTAAGAATTTCTTTTGATGACAAAGATAGAACAGAATATATACCAAATCAACAAAAAGTATAGATGATTTGGGATTATAACCCCTGACGGCTTAGTTTAACAACTTAAAGCTTTGAAGGGCTGCGGAGGGATATGTGAACTTCTTCCAACTCCAAATAATGCCAGTCTCATAAAACAATGGGGGGGGCATTACTCACTGCATTCAATTCAAGAAAACTATGGAAAATTAGACCCGCTGCTTGAAGCTGGGTAAACTGGTCACTTGGGCAATCTGAAAAGGGAAAATGCCAATTTTGCTTCCATCCTCTTCCACAAAAGAATAGTTGGCCAAGCAGAAATGCACAATCAAATGAATTAAGATAGAAATGAAGCAGAAGATAGGCTAAGAAGAAATACTTTTAAATAAGTTAAAAGTTCAGAGGACAGAAGTCACAAATGCGAATCCCTACAAAAGCCTGATAAGAAATATAAATGGAAGAGACAGCCCTGAAGTTAGCAGACATTCAATGTAACTCTGCTCATAAGGCGACAGCCATGTCTCAGGTCCGACTGGCCACCTGATTCACAAATGCAGACCCGGATAGGCCAGGTTTCCTGATTTTTCAAGAGAAAGTAGGCATTCTGAGTTCAAAATCACATATTCTATTTTGTTTCTTTTTATTCTAATGTGAATCTGAAGGTGAATTAAGGCATATCTGGGATTTACATTCAGAATTCACTAGTTGTAAGACAAACAGAAAATAATAATGAGAATCAACGAAGTCAGGATTATCTCTGGTGAAAAGAGAATCTGGGAAAGAAAATAGGGGTATTCAACAGCATCTGTGATATTTAAATTATTAGGAAAAATATTTGAATCAAATATGGCAAGATGTTAAGATTTGATTAACACTCATGTTCATTATATTTCCTCTATGTTGTTTTTTTTTTTTTTTTTTTTGAGACAGAGTCTCACTCTTTTGCCCGGGCTAGAGTGAGTGCCGTGGCGTCAGCCTAGCTCACAGCAATCTCAAACTCCTGGGCTCAAGTGATCCTTCTGCCTCAGCCTCCCGAGTAGCTGGGACTACAGACATGCGCCACCATGCCCGGCTAATTTTTTCTATATATTTTTCGTTGTCCGATTAATTTATTTCTAATTTTAGTAGAGGCGGGGTCTCGCTCTTGCTCAGGCTGGTTTCAAACTCCTGAGCTCAAACAATCCGCCCGCCTCAGCCTCCCAGAGGGCTAGGATTACAGGCGTGAGCCACCGTGCCCAGCCCCCTCTATGCTGTTTTCTTGGCTTAAAATACTTCATAATAATCAAAGCATGTTATTTATTTCCCACTGTTTATATATAGATTTGGATGTACATATTCATGATATAGAGGTCTGGGTGATATTTGGCATAGATAGCTATATAGCATGGCTATAGATAAAGGTGGTGATTTAGATCTTGGATCCATTAGCAATCTGTGAGTTTGGGATCTATCTTTCCCAGAGACGTTTAGATTCCTAGAAAACAATATAGCCTACAGAAAGAGATGCACTACTCTAATGTTCAAAACCATTCTTGCAGAGGAAGAATTTGCAAGTGAGTTTATATTTTTTGTTGTTGAAAAACCTTCCCATCAATGCTTGAGATATCTGGAAACTCTCTAGAAATTTAAATATGGTTCAAGAATTTGGGGTGCCTAAACATCAGACATAGTCTGCATGTTTATCTACTACACCTGTAAGGGTAAGGGCTATGCCTTCTCTATCTTTATACTCCATACAAATGGCACCTTGGACATGACAAATCATTTCTCCATAGATATTAATTAATTAAATGAAACAGGGTATGTTTTGGGGTTTTACCTATTATAAAAATAACAAAAGCTGTAATTTGTTGAACAACTACTATCTGCTGGGCTCTGTGCAAATGACTTCATATGCATTATCACTAATGCACATAGGAAAACTGCAGGGCAGTTATTGTTTTCCCCAGTGTACAGGTAAAGAAAGCAGATTATTTGTTCATTCATCAATTTTTTATTGAGTACCAACTCTTTGACAAACACTGTTCCCGGCAATACAGATCCAGCTATAAATAATGAAGGCTGTAATTTCTGCCCTTCAAAAGCTTGTACTCTTCTAGGGGATGACATAGCATGAGACAACAAACATGTAAATGTATAGTATTGCAGATGATAATGACAAAAAACATAGAGGAGAAAATAAAGTAGGAAAGGAAAGAGAGACTGATGAGGGTTTAAATGGGTGTTTTAAATAGGTTGGTCATGGAAGTTTCTGTAGTAAGGTGGCATTTGGGCAAAGATGGAAGCAGGGTGAGCTGTGTGGTCATTTGTAAGAAAAGGGTCCTGAACAGAGGGAACAGCAAGTAAATGCCCTGGAGCAGGAACACATTTGGTGTGTTCAGGAACAGCAAGGAAGGCATGTGGTTGGGTTGGAATAAATGGGGGAAAGAAAAGTAAGAGATGAGGCCAAAGAAAAGCCAGGATTCCAGATCACAGAGTGTTAGAAGTGATTCAGAATTCATTGGCTTTGATTTTGCATTGGAGGGGAAAGCCGCAGAAGCCTTTGCCCAGAAGAATGATATGATCTTACTTAATGGTTAAAAGAATTATTTGGGCTAAGTGGAGAATAGCCTATAGAAATAGAAAGAATTCAGAAAACCCCAGCTTCTAGGTTGGGAAACCACAATGTGAGCATGGCCTAGACTTGTGATCAGAGCAGAGAAGCATGTTCGTTTATTCACCAAATATTTATTGAGCCCTTCCTCTATTCCACATGTGTATTTGACAGTGGGCATGCAGTGGGGAATACAAACACATTCGCTTACCTCAAAGCACTTAGTCTGGTGAAAAATATTGGGAAACAGCTGAATAAAGATGGAAAGAATAAAAAATTTTTAAATGATATTACAAATTAAAAAGAATACTGGGCCAGGCGCAGTGGCTCATGCCTGTAATCCTAGCATTCTGGGAGGCCAAGGTGGGAGGATCACTTGAGTTCAGGAGTTGGAGACCAGCCTGAGCAAGAGCCAGATCCCCACCTCTACTAAAAATAAAAAAATTAGCCCGTCGGCGCCTGTGGTCCCAGCTACTCAGGAGGCTGAGGCAGAAAGATCACTTGAGCCAGGAGTTTTAGGTTGCTGTGAGCTAGGCTGACACCACTGCACTCTACTCAAAGCAACAGAGTGAGACTCTGCCTCAGAAAAAAAAACAAAACACGGTGTGCCAAAGTCCTCCTCCTCACAGCTCTGGTGAAAATGGATAGAGAAGTTTTTTTTAATTACTTTTGCTCAATTGACTGAAACAGAGCAACAGAAGTGCCCGAACATATAGAAGGCAAGGCTTGGATTCACCACAACTTTTTATCCTCACTCCATGAACTAGTTGTATAGTGAACAAAATAGAGCTCCCCCAAACACAAGGGAATTCTCTTCCAAGTTAGCCGTGGCAAAGGCATATATCTGCATACTCACCGGCTCCTTCGTTTATACAGCGATGGAGACGTTTCAATTCCCAGCACACAAAATGGCAGCTAGCTGCATAGAACAAAAGTGACTGCTCATCAGCCAGCCCTCCTCCCGACTACAAGATCCCAAATTTGCTCAGGTATCAAATGCCATGCACTTCTGAGAAGGCTGGGTCCCTCCTTAGCTCCAGGGCCTGGATTTTGAATTTAGATTAAACCAATGATTCTCCACATCTGTCTATACAATAACTGGGAACTTGTAAAAATACACATAACCATAGGCCACTTTCAGATATTCTAATTTAATTGGTTT